TTCATTTCTGTGTTTTTCTTGATAAATGCCTAAAAATTGGTTTGTCTCATCCTGGCAGGAGCTGGGGGGAGGCATCTTTTATTAGGCAGTTCATATTTTGGCAAACTAGCAGAGAATGTTAAGGCCAGCAGTTCCTGATAGCCTTGACCTAAGAAGATATTGTTGTGATTGAGCATAACAGAAAGCTAGCAGCACTCTGCAATAACTGAATGCTGTGAATAGGCATTCAGATGTTCAGATTGATGTGCTGTGCACACAAAAGTACTTGAGAAATTTAATTGATTAAATTCAGTAAGAGTTGAGACTATAGCTTTTAATTTTGTTTCTCTAGAAGCAGATCTCGATCAAGGAGTTACTCAAGATCTCGCAGCAGATCCAGGTCTACAGGATCTTCCAGATCAGACAGCCGGTCCAGGTCCAGGTCAAGATCAAGGTCCAGGTCCAGGTCTCGCTCTCGATCCCGATCTCGCTCTCGATCTCGGTCTCGTTCTCGCAGCCGTACTCCTAAAAAGAGTTACTCCCACAAAAGCCACCGCTCCAGCTTGATAGCTTCTTCCCCATCTCCCTCTTCTTCTAAAAGAAAATCTCGTTCTAGGTCGAGCTCTGCTCATAGCCGTAGTTAACCTGCTCTAAGAGATGTATTAATGCATTTAATTTGATTCAAGTTTCTTGAAGACTTGAGACAAATTATATATGAGAACTGGGAGGGGAAGAGTTAACATGATGAAAGGGTGACCTCCTCTTACATTGCCAAAGTGCCTGTCATCAAATAGGCCATCTCTGTGAGGAGGGGCTGGCTGTCAGCTTTCTTCTTTCAGTGAAGTCTGGAGTGGGAAGTCTTTTTTATTTTTTTCCCTGCTATTAGTAAACATTTCTATCATAGATATATTATGTACACATAATGCTGAGGTAATGGGATGAGACAATACGCTGCTTTCTCCCTATCTTACCCCCACTTTCCCCTCCACCTCCAAGGCCTTTGACTTCCAAAATACTATGTTAGCTTTTGTCCTTGGTATTAAGTCCGAGAACAGGAAGTATAGATTTTAATCCTTTAAGGTTCTGTGGCTACTTTTCTGTGCGAGAATGAATGGACCAGATGAAATTAGTTTAGAGTTCCCTTTTTTCCCTGTTGCTTGGCTTAACAGGCTGTTTTAAGTTCCAGCTTTACATGACCTTGACAATATGCTTAATTTGCAACAGACTTTAAGAAATACACATTGTTTAGTTGAATATTGCTCATTTGGATAGTGAATCAATACAATGTTAAGCAGTAATGAAAGCTGGAATTTTCTGTTAAAATGAAACATACCATCCAAATGTCAGGATTATTGAGAATCCATTATAATAATTTTACAGTAATTCACTAGTATGTGGTATTGTATGTATAGGCCTTATTTGACAGGTGATTCCATAAAACTGCACAGAAATGTCAATATGCATGTCCATGTTTTTGATGTTATAAGAGTGACATAGCTTTCATACCCAGAAGTGTGATACTGAATAACATGTGTATGACTAGCAATAGTCTTCATGGAAAGGAAGGTTATTTTAGTAACGAGAGCAGCAAAAAATACCCCAGGAAAAGTGTAGTCAAAATCTCCTGAATGCACAGTTGTTTTGATTATTAGAAATTTCCACTGCAAATACTGTTCGTTCTTAAAATTTGGAATTAGATACTTTTTTTTTTAACTTCTGTATCGTTAAAGAAGGGAAATGTTTTTGGAAAAATATGTAAATTAATCCCAAAGTCTTACGTGTGTTTAAATGTACCATTCCTAATAAAATCAAACCTTTTTCTGGCTTACTTTGTAGTTTCGTTTAGTAGTGCTCGTTGTTTACTTTATAAAAATCTTTCTAACGTGATCACAGAGAAATTTATTTGAAGGTATACCTGCATGGAAGCAAGCAAAATGTAAACTAGAAACAAGTTATGACATGTAAGTAACGAGATCCGACTAACAGGACAGGATAGGATTTTACTGTCATGGCCAGCAGTGGCTGTTAGAATGGATGGCAAAATATTCTTTCCTTGCAGACACGCCTGTGTGATACCTTCTGGTCCAGCAGTTCAGCAGAGGAATCAACAACCAAATGGCCATAAGTGTTGGAATCTTTCTGTAGGTAAACTCATTTGGTAAACTTTTGAAATACTGTACTAAGGATTATTCTAAATATGCACACAACTTCTGTGCATATAAGGCTTTGAGTTTGATACCCTTCATAGAGTCAAGTTATTGGTGACCCTGCCCATAGGAGGAAGGTTGGAACCAGATGATCTTTAAGGTCCCTTCCAGCCCAAATCATTCTGTGATTCTTGGCATGTTTGGCATGATGTGATCTGAATATGCTAGCAGTTCAGAAGGAACACTAGATAGAAATCACTTTGCAGTGGAATCTTACTAGATATGACTGTTGAGAAAGCTCATCATTCTGTGTTAAATGTCAGTGTTGGTTTTGGTGATTTTGTTAGGCTACCAAAAAAACTCTCCCAAATGTCCACTGCCTCACTTAGTACCTTTGAGATTGGCAAGTCCAATATCAGAGACCTTCAGTGCTTCTGAGCACACCATGCTTACCTTGCATATTGTTGAAATGTAGAGCAAATGTAGATCTTCTTTATTAATTCTTTCTTGTACATTATTTCCCTTCCATAAGTTTCCATTGATTCAGGCAGCAGTGGCAACAGTAAGATGAATATAGGCCTAAGAACCAGCCTCCCCTTCTCTCCTCAAACACCTTGAGGTTATAAGCAAGTTTAGCATCATCGTCATGATTGCAACCATACACACAGCTTATTTCTGAACCTAAGGCCCAGTCTGCCCATGGATTTGTGTTGCTTTTAATACTGGTTAGAAGGGTGGTTTTTTTAAACTGACTGAACTGATAGTGGTTTAGTGCCGGAACACCTCTGACAGTATTTATTTCTGTGCTGGCACAGTAGTGATTTAAACATCTTTTGCCAGCACAGCAGCATCTAAGTTAACTGTAGTGCTGGTTTCTAAATGTAGCAACAGGTAACTAAGGGCTGCAGATTGTAGGGTGGTGTTACCAAAGCAATGTGACACAGTGGAACTGACCTCACTAATTTTTTTTTTTAATGTTTTTTAAGGTAGCAAGCAGTGGCTCTTTGTTCCCCCAAGACACATAAAGGCGTTTAGGTAAGGAAAAGGCAAGTTTTTGAAATACTAAGAATATTAAATCTGATCTTGTCTGGGGAAAGATTTGTGTATGGTAGAGGTGAACTTTGCAGCTTTCTCAATATTTATTTGAAGGGCAAGGATAGGAATCTTCAGCTAAAAACAGTTTTCTTAAAGGAAAGGTTGAGTCCCTGGTTACTCAGCTCTTAGTTGTTCCTTTTGGCATATTAATTTTGGTGCCTGGAGAAATAACAGATTTTGAAGCCCCAATTTTTATTTATTGTGTACGTGACTTCCATGACTTTTTCCGTATCAAAAAAAGGTTAAGTCCTTAAAAAAATATACATGGGGAGAAGACGGACCGGTGGCCTGATGTCACACACTCCCCCTTTCCTGCTGTGTCACCACCACACTTGGTTTTTCTTAAAAAGGACAGGCTAGGAATAGCAAATAGGATTTTTTTTTTTTCTTTTAGGAAAAAAAAACAAAACCAAAACAAAACACCACAAAAACCTCAAAACTCATATCGGGAAGTCATAACAATTTTGTGCAGATTTCAGAGCAGCACAGCCGTTTGGCATGCAGTAGAGTTGGAAATGAAAACATTTTTCATTGGCGATTAAAATTTCAACCTTATCTGACATGTAAAATGAGCTACAACTGTATACACTTAAATTGCTTTAATGAGGGTAATTCATGGTACCACTCTTAGCTGGTCATGTCTGACCTCAGCTTGGGCCAAACCCAATCTGGAATTTAGTTTTGGGGCATATGGGTTAGTGTAGAGGGGTTAAAATTAAAAGGACAGTTCAGCAACCTGGATAAAATACTTATTTGGTGGTCTGCAAGTTATGAATACTGTCTTGAGAGGAAAGAAGACGGACTGGGGTGGATAGAAGCCATGAAGGGGAGAAAACAAGGAGTTTTGAGTTTTGACAGGTGGCAGTTTCAGTGTCAAGGCAAGACCACAGACAGGAATACAACCTTCATACTCGTCAACAGTTCAAATTTAGAGGTTTCCTCCGGCACACGACCTTGAGATAAATTGAGGAACGTAAGTGCTTGTTGGTTTTTCTTAAAAATATTCGATGTTCTGCTGAAGAGCAAAAAGGTCTAAAGAAAACTGAAGTTCCTGTGAGAAGATGGTATCTGTAAGTCAGGTAGACAACTTGATTAGCAGACATAGACTTGTTTGGTAGACTTTTGGGAACACAATGTAGTATGACATTTGTCTGGAATGCTGGTCTGGTTTTTCCCAGCTGGGAAATAAAGCACCACACAGCCAGTCACTCATTTTCCCCCAGAGTGGGACAGGGGAGAATCAGAAGAGTGAAAGTGAAAACTTGGGGGTTGAGATAAAAACAGTTTAACAGGACAGAAACAGAAGAAGATAATGATGAAAGAATAAGAATACAAAACCATGATGCACAATGCAATTGCTTACCCCTCACCAAGCAATGCCTGGCCAGTTCCCAAGTGCCAGCTCCCAGTCACTTTCCCCACAGTTTATATACCATATGATGCCATAGGGTATGGGGTATTCCTCTGGTCAGCTGGGGTCAGCTGTCCTGGCTGTGTCCCCTCCCAGTTTCCCATGCCCCCCCAGCCTCCTTGCTGGTGTGCCATAAGAAGCCTAAAAGTCCTTGATAAACACTACTTTGCAATATCTGAAAACATCAGTTATCAATATTATCAATATTTAGTTCTCATCCTAAATCCAAAACACAGCACTATACCAGTTACTAGGAAGAAAATTAACTCTATTCTAGCTGAAACCAGAACAACTACTAGTGTATTTCTGAAAACCTAATTATTTTAAAAACAGAACACTTTTAGACTACATTGGAACAATTTATTTACCCATATCAGGTGCCTTACTTCCAAGTTTACAGAGCACAGAAATGTAAGCTCCACTTTAAGATAACTAAACGGGCTTCTTTATTGTATTAAGGTCATATCTTTTCTGTCAGTGTGTTCCAACGTCTGTCTGATGATTTCCATGAGAGAGCTGGGAATCATCCCTTCCAACTGGTAGAAGACTATTGCTCCCAGACCTGCAAAGCTGAAATGAACAGAGAGCTCTGAAGTCGTGATGCATCTGCAAGTAAATCTGTTATTACTCCACCTCTAATTCTGCTAACCTGATCCTTAAAGCAGTTTTCACAAATTTCTCCTCCACAAATGGAGGCAACATAAGACAATACAAATGTTACATTTATATTAGATTCTAAGGTTTCACTTGTACCTTGCGAGTGCAAACAGACAATAGGGTTGAATCATGTAGTGGCTTGCTGCTGGCAAGACAGACACACACTATCCCTGTGTGTCCCCCTTGTCTTAGACCAGCTCTGATGTTTGTCTGATACTCCAGAAGCCAATTCAATGACATCACAAAAAGTAGGTCCTTTGGGTTTCCTGCTGATTTTTCCAGTGCTTTCTGGGAGGGAGGAAGTGGAATGTTACCTGGGGTGTAAAACTCCTATGATCCTTCTGTTTGCCTCCCTCACAAACACAAGGGTCCTATTTTTCCTAACTTTATCCTGCCATGTGTACTCCATACTCCCAAGTAGTCAGTCTTCAAGCAGAACCCCATCACTCTCCTCCTGTCCAGCATTTCTTGAGCTTCTCTTACCACAGGACATTTTGCTTCCAAGGGAAGTCTTATGTTACAGCACGCAGCACAGGGCACAGCTGGAAGTCAAGTACTGCAATTAGTTGCTTTTCAGGAACTGGGTGCATCACACCCGAAAAACAAGAGTGTATTTTCTGTGATGTTTACAGCACTTCTTTATTATGAATTGCATTTTTGTCAGTTTAACACAGGGCTCTTCATCCAAGGATATCCCAGTAGTTTGTGAGGATAAACTTTATTGTACTTGGCCACATCACATTTCTGCTTCATTGATGAAAAGGAAATCGAGTGGTGGGGGTGCTCACCTGTGGCTGTAAAACAAGGAAGTGAGAAGAAATACGCCCGCAGGGAAGGCCAGGATTCCTCACAGAACAGGTTCGGCTCTGGCTCATGCCATCCAGTGGCTGTCCTTGTGCCTCTGCTCCTGGAGCCATGGAATGGAATGAGAAGGGTTTGGTTCCGCTCAGGGCATAAAAAGTTTCCTTTTCAATAACGAAGTGAAGTAGCAGCTTCCGAGTAGGAAGAAGTGCCCCAGGGTCTGCATCCCTAGCGCTCTGCCCCTGCTCTAGCAAAGAGCCAAAGACAGTGAGTGCCAAGGGCGGAATTTCTCCACTCTGTCAGCTCCTCCTGCTGCACCCTGATCTTAGAGCCGAGTACTGTATAGCTCCTAAGGGGCATTAGTCTTCTTACAAGGGTTTTGGAAGCATGTAATTTGCCCTTTGTTTCCTTCATTCTCACTCCATAGCCATTTTTTGCTGGGCAGACTAAATGCTCTGTGCATACAGTACCTGAGGGCACAGTTCCTATTTAACCAGCCCTGCAACCAGATCCACTTTCCCCCTCTTTTTGCAAACCTGCAGAAGAGTTGCTAGCCTTTCACCCCGGGGTGATTTACTGGGACAATTAGGACATTAGCCGGCAGTTATACCTGGCGGGGGCTGTGGCAGGGTGCTCCATGCATGCCAGCTTAAAGGAGAGCACACAGCAGAAACCCAAGTGAGCTCATCAGGCCTTAAGATAAGAGTCAGCACCAAGACGAAAACGCAAGGGTTAGAAGGCTGGGGGCCTGGGTTAGAAACAAGGCCAAACTGTATGCTGTAGAGAAAGACTAGCTAATTGCGAGTCATATGTATGTCTGGGTAGTCTCAAGAATTTCAAAGGACATTCACTACTATTGATTTGCTGGGCTGAGACCACTAGGGAGTGATGAAAGAGCAAAGAATGTATGGCAAAACCTGTTTTTCAAGATTTTCAAGAGCTTAAAATAAGACAGTTTCACTGGCAATGAATGATACATTTGTGTTGTGTGATGGCTTTTTCCTGTAACCAGGGATGAATGTGGTCTTTCCCTGTTCTTTCCTTTTCCACTCTAGAAATCTCTTGGGAATTTAGCAGTGGCAGATTCGGCTGGAAATATCCAGATCAATACGCTTAGAGCTGATGTTTTGGTTCAGACCAAGAATTTCTCCGTATGTGTGTATGTAGGTGTCATACATTACTGGAGACCCTGAGACCTGGTTCAGCAGGATCCTGCACCTGTGCTGGATTTGTTTTACCCAACAGCCTGGTGTCCTAAGGCAATTGATTTCTCCTTTTCTACTAGAGGCCCATGGATAGTACTTTGTGGTTCATAGAGGTAAGGTGCTGCACAACACTCTTTTAAAGGAAGTGAGCACCCATTGGTATAGCTGAAGTTAATAAAATCCTAAAAGGTTCCCACTGTAGAGCTTCAAAACAGAGGTACCCCAAACTTTTGTTAAAATTTGGGCTAGATTTTAGTCGGGGATGAGGGTGGCAATAGCGCAGCATATGCTGGTATTGCTGTGACAGGAAGCAGATGTAAGGAAAAGGTATATAGGGGGGAAAACAAGCTGGATGAAATCTTTGCATTTCACATCTACGGCTAAAAGAATTTTTCCTTAAACTCGGTGAATAGGACTGTGGATCTAGGCCCCACTTACCACTGTGACTCCTGTTTGGGATATTCCCAGTGCCTCAGGCTATCAGGAGTCCAGGCCAGCATCATTCCAGCTACCAGACAGACCTCTCTCTCCAAAACAGACTGCTTACGTCATGGCCTCTCTAGACAGCCTAGCCCTTTCATGCCTCTAGCCAAAGCTGGAATTTACCAGAGCTGGAGATCTGGTAAACACCACATCTAATTCTTCAGTCTGAAGTGTTGGTATTGGTTGCACTTGGCTTTGTTCCTTCTGTTTCTTTTTTGTTCCAGTAAAGTTTTTCCATGCACACACTGGCTATTTAACAAAAAGTACTACCCAGCAGCTCTGCTGTTTCTTACACATTTGGCCATTGCCATGCTCTCTGCATCACTGTGAAGGCCTAACTGAGAAGTGGTATGCTCAAAAAAAAAGTTTTCTTACATGTTTAAAAAGTTTTCTTGTTCTTTTCCTTCAAAAAAAAGCCTGTTTCTAGCACTGTGCAAGAACCACTGCTGATCATGTAGACTGTTTTTCCAGCTTTGCCCAAAATGCTTACTGCAAGTTTTCTGCCCACACCTGCCCTCCGTTTGTTTTCTCTTTCCCTAGTTCTGGCACGTGAATGGTCTCAAATCCACATCCACTCATTGTACACACCCTCTTGAATTTTTTTTTAGTCCAGTAGCTCTTATCTCTTATCCATGAGCACCAGAGTTATCGCACTATGCTGCATTTCCCAGAGAGAATGGATCATAGTATATTTTGAGACCTCAAATCTCCCTGCAAACAACTCAAAACCTGTGAGTGAATTTACTTAACTCTAAGGCCTCACAAACCTTGGAGTTTGTGTTGTGCACTTTCCTACCCTCCTACATATGCCCGTGCCACCCGCACAGCAGTGACAGCTGTACGTGAGAAGGAGCGAGTGCGGTGACAGTGGGCTATGCTCGTGCTTACGGTGAGGTTGTGGTGTGAAGTAACAGCCGGTGCTGCCTTGGACTGGGGTCTAGAGTTGCTCATGTGCCTTCCCACCGCCACAGCACGGGTCAGTAGCAGCGCGGTTTGTGCGATGCGTCAGCCGTGGGAGCTCAGGGCGACGGGGCTGCCGTGCGATCCCAGGGGGGTTTCATCACACATTACGGGACACACCGTGTGAAGCGAAGAAGCCGAGCGGCCCCGTCCCGCCCGCGGTTGGCTGTCCCCCGCCAGATGGTGCTGTGGCACCGCCTCAAGGAAACAGTTTTTCTACAAGAAACTCTCAAAATCATCTTAAAATCGCGCCGGTGACCCAAGACGTTGCCTTTGTAGAAACCCGCCCCCCAGACACACTCACCCACCCACCCCCACCCACCCACACACCGGGAACCCGTAACAACATCCTTGACTTCAGCATTGGAAACTTTGTCCCGTCCCTCCCCCCATGCGGTTTCAGCACATTCACTTGCCGGAGGAGCAGAAGGAAAAGGTGGGGGAACAGGGGCGGGAGGGCTCAGAAATCAACCGAGGTGAGCTATATGCAGGCCTCTCGAAGGACCTGCTGGGAGCCCATGTCTTTGTGTACAGATAAGCTGAGTCCCATCCCTCTGACTTCCTGGCACTGCCTCAAGCCCTTTGTCTTGAGGGCCACCCTGAGGATTGACCTGAAAGGTTGCAGACCTGTTTCTGAAGCCCAGCTGCGGCCCTGGAGTAGCTCTCCAGAGCCCCACAACAGCTTCTGAGAGACACAGTGTCACAGCCTCACCAAGGGCCCGAGCTGCCCACCTTTGTGACCTCTGGCAGGGCAAGGGTGGGAGACTGAGAGGCTGAATTAAGCTCCAGGTATTAAACTGCAATAGTAAAAACCCCAAACCAACCACCCAGGAAACCTGCACAAGCTAATCTCGAGAGGAGTGGTTACAAAGCCTTAGAAGTAGCGAGAGTTTACAAATACTTCTCCCCTGCCCTAGACTAAGAAAAAAACGGTCTGCTGAGGAACCAGCCACTCCCACCCCCGTTCTCCTCCTCTCCCCCCCCACACGTGTACCCGCAGGAGCTGCCCAGAACTGGGGCTACACCCTTCTGCCATGGCCCTGTGTCTAGACAGCATCAGGTACAAACTGAATGTTGCCACTTCTCCAAAGGAGTCTGGTAACAAAAGAGGCTTCAGGAAATAACTTTTGGCTTGGTCTGGAGAAAATTTGTTGTCTAGGTGTGACTTCTGATAGGAATGCTTTTCTGCTTTGTTTTACCAACCAGTTCCCCGAAGCAGGCTGTCCTGTGGGCTGGCTGGGGGTCTTTCCCTGGGTATGCCTTTCCCTGGTCCACTCCAGAGACCTCTGGCCCTTACCAAGCCAAGTCCTCAAAGCAGCCTCTCCACATGCCAATCCAATGTCAGGGCTCCACAGAGGCTCTCCCAAGACAGTGTCCCTGGAGAAGGCCAGGTCATGCTTATCATATGTCTTTTTACAGCAAGGGGACTCAGCTGGCCGCCTTGGTTCACCCCTGCTACCTGGAAATAGAATCAGAGTCTGTGAAGCATGAAGTTTCAAAAACCAATCCCTCTGTTTGAGAGCCTGAGGCCAGACTCCAAACTCGTGGAAGAGTGAATCAGCTCCCAGACTGTCTGGACCCCTGCTTCTGCAGCAGGGCAACAAAGTGGTTATCTGCTTAATTGTCTCATGGTCCAGAGAAGAAGGCAAAGCCCTGGTCTTGGATTTCCCTGATCCCACTTTTCTCCCAGGAGTCCAGCGTGCGCTGTCTTCCTCTTTCTGGTACCTGCTGGACTGAAAAGCAGGGAAGACAGAAATGTTAATGAGCTTCCAATTGGCCCAAATTACCATGAGCATTACTTCCCCAGGATTTGGAAAACCTTGGGCAGCCAGCACAGGTTAAGTTTCAATAGTCTCAATTTCATTTGGGTTAACAGACTTTGTTGCTTCCTCTTCAGCTTAACACTGATGGCCATCCACTCTGGGCTCTGTTCTCAGGAACAGCACTCTTGCTCTTCCTACAGGGCATTGCCAAAGCACCTCCATCTTCCACGTGCTATTATCCAACATGCACACAGTATCACTGGCTGGCTAACAGCCACCTCTCAGGCTCCAGAGGCGAGGGCGTCTGAGCCTCAGACCACTCAGAAGAATTCCCATTCACATCCTCTCCCCTGTATCCTGGGTTCACTTGTTTTCCTTTTTACTCCAAGAAGCAGGTTCAGGTCACTTTCAGCTCTGAGTTCTCCAAGTACCACAATCAAAAGGCAGTGTTGGGAATGTTATTCCACGGTATTCAAACAAACATTTTTCACCATTTCATTTACTGAGAAAACACTCCACCGTGGAAATCTTTTCTGGTCTTCAGTATCTCTGGGACTTTTAGTGTCCTTTTAGGGTGAGATCGTCACTGGGGTTTTGCCCCACTTCTCCTTTGCAACTGAGGTATGTGTAAAGAGGGCAGGGGAAGTGTTCCCTTACAGCAGGGTGGGAGGGAGCAGCCTGCACTTCAAAGCTCC